ATAGAAATTTACATCTTACAGATAGAAAAATATTAACATTTTAGCTGAAATTTAGTCAATTTAGGATTGAGCAATGGCTATCAATCTTATCATTATTATCCAGAAGAGTCCACCATCCAGAAAAAAATGTTTTGATGGCTTAGTAGAAGACTAACAAAATTGCCAGATTAGTAGAGGTATAATAAAAAAAAAAAAAGAAGTGAAAATTTTAAATAATTATCTGTGAAAACTAATTACAGTATTTAATTGAAATAAATGGTGAAAATCTGTACTATAAAAGATATAAAAAATCATTATTCAAGTATAAAGAAAATGTTATAAACAATACATCAACATACTTTATGTAAATCATAAAACATAGATAGATTAATCCACTCCAAATAAAAATTTGAAATGTGTGCTCAAATGTTAGCCCTTTTAGTAAGATAGCTACATTAAAAATTTGTTTGCATAAAAATAAGATCATAGCCCATCAAAACATAATTTAGTCTCCTTTCTTCATACTTTAGTAATAAAACATTTTGCCTTTTGTATAAAAACTTGGCTGAAATAGCCAAGTGCTGTTTTCTATCTAGTTTTTCAGGTTTCTTGAAAACGTGCTTTCGAAGTTTTTTCTTAAGCTGTAAGGTGATTCGATTGTTTCAATAAAAAATAATTCAATTTTTTTTTTTTTTTTTTTGCTTTGCATTGCTGCCCGGCCAATTTTATGATGCTAAGGCGAATAAGATAACTTGTCCTCTTTTTCCATACATTTTAAAATGTATAACTTTTATCTAAATTAATAATTTATGTTTTTCTTTTTTTCAGTTAATTTTCTTCTAAGAAAATCAAGTACTGAAAGTTGTATTTTTATATTTCTATAAAAAATCGCATTTGAGTTTCAAATGACACTAAAAACTAACTTTTTTTAAAACAAAAATTTACTTGACATATTTTACAGGAAAAATATCTTGGTTTTTATAATTTAAGATTAATTCATTAAATATAATAGGCAATATATATATATATTTTTTTTTTGTAAGAAAAGAAATCGATTGGTATATATATGTTGGTATTATCACAGAAATCTGGATGAAGCAAAGGCAAACAAAATACAGTAGACTTTTGCTTATTTGTCCTAGTCGGGACCGAAATATTGCTGGTTAAGCAAGGCAGCCGGTTAATACAGAAGGCATAAAATAAAAAAACTCCAAATTATTTTAACTTCTATATTGCGGAAAAATCAAAATACAACACACAACTTAATCAATAAAGGTTATATAATTATTAATTAATTCAAGAAGATAACATTTTTTGGCCAATTCAATCCAACGATTCACGAAAATTTCTACTAATGATCTTGTCAGTTTTCCACAAAATCATTTTTTTTTTTGTTTTACCAAACTTAATGTCTTCTCAACAGTACTGCATCGAAATGGAATATATATGGCGAAAAATGTGGGAAAAGTTGTTATTGTTTTAACTTGTGTATATGGGTTTAAACAAGTAAAATCTAAAATTCCTAACTTCAAACAATCAAGGGAAAGCTTTTTAGATGGGAAAAAGCCATATTTTTTAGATCTTTTTATGTTTTTTCACATACAACTAAATAGTGTTCACATAAATAATGTAATAAAGTGAAAAATGTACTCTTTAAGAAATTAAAGAACATTAAATTGTGTGTCAAATGAATAAGGTATTCATTCAAACATAATATTTTGGTTAAGTGGTATGGAAGAAAACTATGGTCAATGGAAGCTGATTTTTACCAAATTTGTCAAAAACTGAGACAAATTACTATAAATGGCCATGTAACTTAAAAATTAATGCCTTAAGAAGAATAACTAATAGAATCAAAGTTGTAAAGCAATGAATTCTGCTTCAACTGAGTACTAACATTGTAATTTAATCTCTCAAATCGGGATTCGTTATTTCTCTATGAAGATCGGTTTCTTTTGATCCCTTGTTTCGCAAAATCCTTCGCTGCTGAGAGGAGGAAAAGAGGCCTAAACTGCATATAGCAGACACTAAACAAGAATAACTCATTAGAATAACTGTTCAAATATGGAAAAAAACAAAAAAGTATGTGGCTTTTTTGTATATTAGCTTTTATCTTTTTATTAAAATATTGCTGCTCTAGAGAGAAGAGTTAAGCATTCCCACAGCTTTTTTACCATTTGTGAACCTTTTTTGGATTTCTACCTCTGTTCAACCATTACTTTCAATCATGGATCCCAAATAACAAAATTGTTCCACTATACTTAGGTTGCATAATGTTGGGTCAGAGTTCTCTTCTTTCTTTTGTTGTAATTTATCTGGAGCCTACTTGCTCATAATGATCTATTGATTTTCTGGATAGGTAGCTTTATATGCTCTTAATCTTGTACAATTAATAACTGGTCATCCGCAAATAGTAAATGGCATAGGTTTTTTCCTCTTAACTCAACGCCCATTTTCCCACATTTCTTCATCCATACTTTTAGGCATTCGTCAAGGAACATTTTAAATAGAGTGGGAGACATGCATCTTCCTTGCAGCAACCCCTTGCCATTTTGGAATTCCCTTGATAATAATGAGCCTATTTTTATCTGGAACCTATTATTTATATAATAACGATAATAATTATTATTATAATTATAAATTGATTTAAATATTTTATTAAATGTATTTTTTTTAAATCTAGAGAAATAATTTTTTAGATATTTTGGAGGTGGATACGAATCATTTATAAGTATTTTAAACTATAAAAGAACACTTAAATAACTAAAACAGAACTCAATACTCTCTCCTCAATAGTTTTAGTTCATATGAGTTAGGTATAAAGAAATTTTATTAAGAATTGCAGATAGCTTACTTTTCAAAGAGTTCATGCGTGTTGAGGCATTGCTTGTTTTAACATTCCCGAGTATAGCAGCAGCAGTTCGAATCCAGCCTGGACAAGTTGAAATTTATTTCATGATGGACCCACAAAATAAATTTCACCTTATGAGCTGGGGATTGCATCTTAGGATACTAACAGTTTCTTCACTTGAACTAAATAATAAATAACTAAGATTTGCAACCAAATTCTGTAAGGAATATTTGCAGGCTGTAAGTTTCAAAAGTATGTTGGGACTAATGATTCTATGTAAGGAGGGGACTCCAAGGTAACATAAAAGCAATACCGGGAGATAAATTTTGCTATAGAGAGGAAAATTTAGGTACAATTATTATTCACAAGATCAGATCTAAATACAGTTTTATTTTCCCTTTTTACCCTGCATATTGTGTAAAACGAAATAAAAGAAATAAGCTATGTACGGATTAGTGGTATAATATGCCACAGATGCCAAAGTATGAACTGCTGGGAGATAAGAAGAGGGAAAAGAAGGAATAAAAAAATATCAAATAATTATTAATTTAAATAAACATCAACCTAAGTAAATAGTCACGTGAAACATAGAACCAGAACTGAAGAATTGTAATACTTCTTTTACAATATAATAATAATAATTTTTAAACTGAAGCCACTTTTTTTACATACTTTGTCTACATACTTATACATATTTGGTCAATTTTGATTACAAAAACTTCGACATAATATCGCATGAGAAACCTAACCCCAAACCTAAGCAGACTTGACACTACTAGCCAAGGACTCGTTGAAATGACCATGCCTAGAAGCTCAATATTTATATACTCAGAAGTTCTCTTGCTGGTTAACTGAAGTTGACATTGTTTGTAACTGAAGTTGAGACACCAATTCTGTTTAATTGGGATTATTAGTTGTTGATAAAATTATTATAGCTTTCATTGGTTCACAATTGAGTAACTTCTGCTCACTCTACGAATAACACCCCAAAAGCCCTTCAGTTGAGGTCAGACTTACCAAGCAGAGGTTCTTGTCAGAAGAATTGATCACATAAAATTAAGATAAATAATTGATTATGAAAAGGATCCATTACCACAGACAATGAATCAGGCTTGGTAAGCCCGATCTCAACTGAAAAGGCCTTCTTTGGCTGGTTTGTTTACATCTTTAGCAATCTTAGCTAATGGAAATCCAACAATTGTTATTTAATTAAAGCAGCAATGATTTAAATAACCAATAACAATTCTAATGAATCGGTAAACACTTACAAATAGCGGCATTACATAAAGGGAAAGTTCCTAAACTCAGAACTAAGCTGGCAATGGAATTGAAAATCAATTAGACAGTTCCTTAACTTGTAACAGAAATCATCAGTGGCTCAGCAGTTTCATTGATAGATCTCTATGGATCTGCTGGGCTTGACCTCATGATAACCTTAATGTTTATATTTATATTTAGTTCACTTTTTAACTATATTTATTTCTGTTTTTAAAATCAACAATTAATTACATCGGTAGTTCTCTTTCTTTTAATTACATTTGTCACATAGTTTGCTAACTTCTAGAAGTGTCAACCTTTTGCTGGAATCCAGCAGGACGTTAATAAAATCAGCATAAATCACTGTCCATCAGTGCTAGATTTAATAAACTAATGAATTCCATCGCTGGAATAAGTGGTAAGTTTAGAAACAAACTGTTTCAACAGGAGAGCTTCAGGGCATACTCACTATGGCTTTATTACTAGAGCATTCTGAGGAGCCTGTGGCCGTTGAATATTGAATTCGAAGTATTACATCCAATATAACCTATTCATCAACATCGAACCATCCACAACTGTAGAACATTATTAATTCCAAATCGAATAGTACTTACTATATTCATTCTAAAATTCATAAACATTGAATAATGCTGAATGCTAGAGCTTACCATATGAAGGAAATAAACTGAAATGTATACAAATAAACGATAATTTATCTCATTTGAAGTCTAGTAAGTTCTCCAGATTCATGTGGTTATCAGTGAAATCAAGTGTTATATATTTAATTCATTTTAAAGAAGGTTATAAAATAATGTAGTGAACCAAAACCTAAATCATAAACACCACAAAAATCGAACAAAACTATACTATAAACAATTAAGAATAGTCTTATCAAAATAAAAAAGAGACATACTTGGCAACAATATCCTTCATATACTCTTGATAATCTTCATCGATGCTTTTTAAAGACCCCTTCATACTTAATCGATAAACAATTCTTATATATTGTCTCAGCTCAAGCCAGCAAGATTGGATCATCTTTATCTCTTCTATACTTTCCGTAGTCAGAGTCCTGTTTTAATAAAACAACAAGGAAGAATAATATACAAATAAATGAATAAACAAAGTTATAATAAAATATACAAAAACTGTTAAATACACATTGTTTAATAATTACACCTTACTATAAATAGCTAATACAATGATAGATATATATAACATTATTATAATTTAAATGAATGCTCAGTTGAGAAAAATGTAAACACCAGTAATACCACAAATATTGCCCACTTACACATTGAAAAAAAAACTAATAAATTAACTAACTGCTTATAGTTTTTATTTGAAATTAAGTTAAGATAATATAATACCTTCTTTCATTACAGGATTCACAAGAACAGTCATCATCAACAAATGCTGCTGTGTCCAACAAAGCGAAGTCATCCTTAGAACGTAAAGAAACCACAAATTAACTAAGACCTTACTATTCTGGTGAAAATAATTCAGCTAATGATAATAGCATTATAATTTGATAGCATACAAAAGCTAATTTGTGAAGAAGGGCTGTTAGAGCTTTATCATTGTCTTTTTTATCGGTTTCCCTCCTAATAGAAGAAATATCACTAGTCTCAGCCATTTCCTTCTTCAAATAAAGATTCAAATTCAAAACTAAACTAGTTGATACTAACGATCAACTTCAACCTTCTATATTACTGTAAACTAAAACTCCATTGAGACTGTTCTATAACGCCTCGTTTACACGAACAAGCTTGAACACAACGTACTTTTTTATACTTTATAACAAAAAGTAACACGAACAATCTAAAAACACTGAATATTTAGTTAAAAAAGGAGGTATTAAAATAATTATGTCTATAAAATAACATTGTTTATTTTAATAATAATAAGTATATTATTATATAATATAATATAAGTATATAAGTATATAATAGCTCCATCTCTTGGTTCCAATCTTTTCTCTCACAACGCACCCAAGCAGTCTCCATTCCTAATCAACCACTATCTGCCTACCTGCCTTTATCCTCTGGAGTTGCCCAAGGATCTAGCATATCTCCTCTCCTTTTTAGTTCCTATATTAATGACCTCCATGACTCAATTATCCATTGTTCCCACCACCTTTATGCACACGATCCTCAAATATACCTATCCTTTTCTTCACCTGAGCTATTGGTGGCATTTACTAAGATCCAAGCAGACCTAGATCGAATCTGTGCCTGGGCAAACTTAAACGGATTAAGGTTAAATGCTTCAAAAACTCAGGCCATTGTCATTGGTTCCAAGCCCCTCCTTAGATCCTATACCGACTTTCCCATACTAAACCTTGGTGACCAGCCAATCTCCTTCTACTCCTCTGTAAAAAATTTAGGACTATTTATTCATCAAACCCTTTCCTGGAATCACCATATTTCTCACATCTCCCGACGGACAATTTCTACCCTCAAACTATTCCATCGCTTCCGCCATCTCCTACCTCAACATACGCGTAGACTCCTCGTTTCCTCTCTCATCTTCCCCCACTTTGACTACAGCTGTGTGGTGTATGATGGACTCTCGGTGGAGCTCCGCGACAGACTGAAAAGATTAATAAACAGTTGCGTGAGATTCGTAATTGGTGCCCCGAGATACTACCATGTCTCTCACCACTACACTGAGTTAGAGTGGCTCTTCCCCTCCATTCGAAGACAATATTTCCTAGGTACATTCCTCTATCATATCATCAACAATCATCGTCCTTCCTACGCCTACAATCTTCTCCAATTCAAGTCCTCAATCCACTCCCTCTCCACAAGATCTCGACCTTCCGACCTTTACATTCCTTCTCACAGATCTGCCTCGTTCCAAAATTCCTTTATTGCTCGCTCTGTTAATTTTTGGAATTCTCTTCCTATCAAAATCCGACATTCTTTATCCCTATCTACATTCAAAACCCTCCTATTCCTATTCCTGTTCCAAAAACAGTCAGATTCCAGCTAACCTTTTATGTAAAATTACATATTTTTTATTTTATATCTTTTTTTCAACAGAAAAACAGATTTTACTGTTAAGAAGAATTTACATTTATTTTATTTTTTTTATTTTTTCTAAAAGGGTTTATTTATATTTTACCATTGTATATAGTTTTAAGTATGGTTTCGAGAGTTTTGTATATAGATTATTTTATTTTATTTTATTTTATTTTGTATATATTATATATAACTAATATTTTTTGTTTGTTTTTTTACTGATTTATCTTTATCTTTACTTTTTATGTTTGTTTTTATCTGGCCAGATGTAAAATTTTAATTTCTGTACTTTTTTGTTATTCTGAAGGGACTTCGTCCCAGAATAAAATTATTTTCTATTCTATTCTATTCTATATTACCTATTTGGTAATTGTAACAAAAATTATTTAATATTGCCAAACTACATAAAACAGTTCATATTTATTTAGGAAATCCTTTTACAAAGGTACCACATCTGGTGACATTATAAAAGTTGTGGGAAAACAACAATACAATTTTTATGATGAAAATTTTTATTTTAATTAATTAAACTTGAAAGAGTAAACAATTATGTAAAATTAGTTTATTCTGGTTTTCACCATCTCTGACTCCTTATCTTTAAAAATGTCTCCACAAACATTTCTAAATTTAAGTTCGGGGATCTTAAATTTTCAATTTTTGAAGGAAGTTTATCGACTGTTCTTGATATCATGGGTGATAAATATTCAGGACGCAGTCATTATAAAATTTTTATTGGTGCCGACGTTTCAATCCAAACATGCGGGTCTTTATCAGGGCGGGTTTCAAGCACTGAAGGTATTCAAGTACTGGATACTATGAAATGGATGGTATGGAAGTACTGGACGTGGGTGATGAATATTCAGGACGCAATCATTATAAAGTTTTAATTGGTGCCGGAGTTTCAACCCAAACATGTGGGTCATCATAACTATTTTATCACTGAGTCATCATAACTATAAGTTTTTTTAATTAAATAAAAAATAAGATTTTTTTTTTATATTTTAGTTAAGCCATTAAATAATTATGAAGGATTGGTTGAACGAACATCACAAACAGAAATGTAAAAATCAATCATCAACTGTTAACTATCTCATACCGTTTGTCTTTTACGAAATTTTGTCCCCAAAAAGATGCTTTTGGTCCACTGTGCGCCGACACGATATCTCTTTGTCTGTATCGCTGGGGATTACAACGCTCTGTGGGGATACTATATTACTTTAAGGGGATACAATAATACTATAAGGGGATACTATAATGGTGGCTGACGTGCGGTGAGGAAGTCCTAACGGTTCGTCCATGTTTCTTTAAGATTTTAACTTGCGTTAAAGTGTTATTTTGGTGATTTAACTATTGAAATTTGTTTATTAAGTGCGCTTGCTTCTATAGTTGAAGGCCTGTGCCGGTTCGACAATATTTAACGAAGTTATACGCAAAAGATCATCGCCTGGTGGTAAACGTGGCGCCAAATCTGTCTATTTTTGATAGATTTTGTGGCCGTAGAAAGACAGAGAGGGTTTATGCGTTGGATATAGTGAAGGACCAAAACAGAGGAGTGTACTGTATAAATTTGAACTAAATTAGATTTGTTTTTAAGGATAAATTAGTGCTTGCATGGTTCCATGTGGCCGATAGATTATCTTTTACGTCTTTGAGTTGTTTTTAGAAGATTAAAGGAGTTGAGTATTAGCAGTGGTCAGGTCAACATCGGAATGCAAGTCTCACATTAGCTGTTGTAGTGATTGGACCTTGCTGTGCCGCTCTTAAGGATTATCCCCAACCGCTGCAGCCCAACTTCATTATCATTGCTGTGCTAGCCGTCTTTGAGGCGTTAAGTTAAGGCGTTATCCATCTTAGCTCCGGCAGTACAGTGGTGTGAATCGGCTGTAACAAAGTTCTGTGCCTGAATAACGTCCCGTTTCATCACGGCGAGGAACTCATTGTTTTAGGAAGAGTCTCAGGGAACACTAGTGCGATCTGAGACTCCCTAGGCAAGGACAGGAGTGGTGAATAGTTGATTAATAGTAATAATCTGATTAATCAGCATTGATCAGAAATTATTATTATATCATAAGTTAGTTTGTAAATTTTTTAGTTAGTTTGTAAGTTTATAAATTTATAACTTATTTGTAAATCACTTCCCTAAATTCGAGTGGTTAATATGAGTGAGAACCAACTAAATATGAACCTAGAGGATAACACAGAAGATGGCGTAGTATTAATAGTAGAGGAGACTGCAAAGATTCCGGGTGCGTTAGAGACCCCAGATACTATTAAGGCTCAAGATTTACCGGAAGATCCTCTTACAACGGAAAAATTACATAGACCACATGTGAAGAGGCCTCGTGAAGGAACTCCTGATCTTGAGGACGAAGAAACAGAAGAAAGCCTTGCCCAAGAGGCTAAGAAAATCGAGGCTTCCCTAAAAGAATATCTTGCTGCAAAGAAAATAAACACGGTTCAGCCGAAAGCAATATTGGGAAAAAATGATAATATCGTAGACATTCTGGAAACCCTGTGTTATAAAGAAATAGAGTATAGGTCCAGGATGCAAGGCCCAAAAAAAGAAGGCCTATTCTTGAAAAGAAAGCCCAGGCTAGAAATGAAAGGGGTTCCCCATTCATGGACAGGTGCTGACCTTGAAAAATATATCTGGAGAATGACAGGTGAAGTTGGCTCTCCAATTGAACATCAAAGAGCGCATCCAAGCACGTTTTTCAATGGAGGCCAGATGCAGCTTAACAAGGAACCGGGTTTTTGAGGTCCACCCAGTCATCCGATTCCACCTATTGGAAGTGGGAACCATCGATGGCGGATGGTGGGCGATGACCTTCAGGAGGATTTCGTGGATGCATCCTTCGAAAAATGCTTGGAATATGGGCACACTACACTGTGGCCACATCGCAAAGGTGTGCCCAAGGAAGAACTAAAGAGCAGACCCGACTTGTGCAAATTTTTCTCGTGAAGGAGCTCAATCAAACCTGACCAAACATAAGGCGGAAGACCGAAACTTTCCAGCACACATCAAGAGGACCCAAGAGATCGCGCGAAGAACTCAGTATGAATAGGATCTCTATTATTCAGATCAATACGGGCTGACGGCATATTGTAGTAGATGAGCTGCAATCTTTCGCTCAACACTACAATATCGTGGCGGTTCAAGAACCGAGCTGCCGTGGGAGTAAGGTTGTATGATTTGGTCTCACATCGAGAACTATTGCTGTAGGCAGTGGAGAAAGGACGCCTAGAGCTGCAATAATAACCACTAACTTAAATCTCGTTGTGATGAGTCTTGAGCACCATACTAAGGCGGACAATGCAGAGAAGACTACGTCTACCACACGATGGCATGGCTGATAGTGGAGTGGGATGTGCGGAATCCAAATTGATGATCTGGGATTATGTGGTTAGAATCTAGGATAGGATGCAGGCGTTTTATGATGAGTTTTTCCAGGATTTTGCCCATGATGGGTAAAAGAAAGATAGGACGGTAAGAGGATGGACATTCCGGCGGCTTTTTAGGTCTATGTATCATTTTGATAATCCATAGTTTCCAAGGATCAGGAAAATATGTGGGTCGGACTACAACATTATATATATATAAGTGAGAAATAGTATGGCTTTCCAAGGAAGCAGTTTCAGGATATGGGAAGTAATGATATCAAGTCCAGGAGCTTTGCGGGAAAGTAATCTGTTAATGATATTGGATATTTTTGAAGGATGAAATGCTTAAGGTGGGTCTGAAATTAATAGCAAAAATGACATGGCTCAAGAAATACAAAGAAGGATCACGGCTGCCAATAGATGTG